TTTTTCTAAGTGTTTTATTGAATTATTCGCATGTATTGTAATAAAATGGACAAAAATATTGACAGTGAGTTTAAGTATTAATGAAAATCGCTGAAAATCGCTGCAGCATTACGGGATGTGGCATTTGAAAAAGCGAAGATCGACTGAATGTAACATTGTACAGGCACGTGTTATTTTTCTGTCTTTAAATCACACAAAAGTCTAAATATCTCATGTAATTAGACATATTTAAGTAGTTTATTCATAAATCTTGCGAAGTTTTGCTTTGGTTTCTTCAGATTGCCTGTTTGTTTGTATATTTTGATGATTGTTATTAACGATTATTTTGAGATAGTGTTGTTCTTGGAAGCGTACATAATATATTATCGATATTCTGTTATTAAAATAATTCACTACGAGGTTTTTATTATTTTTACTATTTTAAGTTTACCTACAAATCAAAAAAGAAAATATAATGGTTACAAATCATACCGCCCTATAATAGTGCCGAATATAAACATTGAATCAAAAGACCATTTTCATTTATTCGCTTCATTTTGAAGAGTCAAATTTGAACATAAATTTGAATGTAACTAAATTACATGATAATGCAATTCCATCATTAGGTGTATTGGTAATTATTATATAATTTTATTTATTTTATTATTATAAAATGAAACATATAATGGTATTTTTATATTTAATTTAGATTAAACAAGACTCGTTTACTAGGCATTCCCAGTCCCTGAAAACAAAATTATCCACTCGTTTCCGATTTTTTTCCCACTGACAACTGTAACTACTAAAAATTCTTATTTTATAAAGCCAGCATACAATGATCATGTTGGTCAAACGTTGCCGGGTGAAGGCCAATATCAACGTATAGACAGCCTTGCCTTGCCTTGCCATCGTTCGGCGTCACTCGCCTAGCTGACCGAGTGAAGGCGAGCGCTAACGTGTTCATTTGATGTGTCTTGTCACATCTTGCAGTCGCTCGTGACAACTTGTCTTACGTCGTAGAAGTGTTGATTTTTCTGTACAAATCGAAGGCGCTCGGCCAATAGTAGTCAATTGACATTGTATAATGATACATTTGCATGCTATTTAATATATGCGAAACATGTTTATACTAACACTGTCTCTTGGTACATCTCCTGTTATACCATGTTTTAAGCAAATAAACGTGTGATAATAATATTATTATTGATAATATTACTACATTCATTTATTCCCAAAATAGAATGGACGTATTAAAGATTCACTTAAATCAGTCACTGATATTAATTCTATACCAATGCATAAATACAAAAAAGCCTACACTACTTGGAATCTGTTTAAATAATTCTCTATGAAAATATGAATCTTGAGGTTGGAAATGTATATATAGGAGTTATATTTCGAAGTTTTCTCTTTTTTATATACTCTCAAATTACATTTTTTCTGTGGAAATTCACTTTTCGTATTATTTGAATATTTGTAAACGAAAAACAATAAATTCAAAATTTCATGTTACATTCCCGGATATTCCCATATAACCCAAAATATTCCCAAATGGAATATTGATCTACTTTAATTAAATGTTTGCATGTCGATAATGACTTATGGATAGATTATGGTACGACACTAAAGAAATCCGCCATTTGTTCAATTTTTGTTTTGGATATGCACGTTCATTCCGTAGTTAGGGCACTTCCTTTCTTTTATTTTTTTCCATCCTCTAAGATTTCGACATTGAAAACATAAACATGTTATTGTCTTTGTTTAACTGCTGCTTGCCGTCGTAAGCCAAAAGAGATAGCATTACATTGGTCTGTGCCAAACACGGGAATCGAAAATACATAACGTCATTTTAAATGCCAACTGTGTTCATTTCGCAATACGTGATGTACATGATACGGTTGTCAAAGAGAAATACATCAAATGTGAAAACAAATATTTTTCCAACTGTTTTATTGAATTATTTGCTGCAGCATTAAGGGATATGGCATTAGCAAAAGCGAAAATCAACCGAATGTAACATTGCACAGGCATGGTTATTTTTCTGTCTATAAATCACACAATTGCCCAAATATCTCATGTAACTCGACTTATTTAAGTAGTTTACTCAAAATAATCTTGCCAAATTTTGCTTCGGGTACTTAAGATTGCCTACTTGTTTGTTTAATTTGATGATTGTTGTTAATGATTGTTTTGTGATAGTGTTATTCTTGCGTACATATTATCGATATTCTCTTATTAAAATAATTCACTACGAGGTTTTTATTATTTTGTTATTGTTATGTTTACTATTTCAAGTTTACTAAAAAATGAAAAAAAAAAAGAATGGTGGGAAACCATAGGACTGCCGAATATAAACATTGAATCGAAGACCATCTTCGTTTATTAGTTTCATTTTGCAGTCAAATTTGAACAGAACTTTGAATGTAACTAGATTACATGATAATGCAATTCAACAAGACTCATTTACTAGACATTCTCAGTTCTTGAAAACAAAATTATCCATTCGTTTCAGATTTTTTCCCACTGACAACTCTAATACTAAAAATTACTATTTTTTGAAAGCCAGCAATACAATGACTTGTTTATTCAACGTTGCCGTGCGACAGCCAATACCAACGTATAGATAGCCTATTTGCCTTGCCTTGCCATCGTTCGGGGTCACTCGCCTAGCTAACCGAATGAAGGCGAGCGCCAACGTGTTTAAAGCTCATTTAGCGTTTATTACAAATCAAAGGTGCTCGGCCAATAATGTTTACACGTTTGTCCGTCCGCATATAAAATGCATACTGATTTTTATCACAATTCAAAAAATTAACACAAAACAATGAAAGTACATATAAATTAACAAAATTTTTTGTCTTGTTCCATTTCTGCGAATAATCGATCCAGATTATAAATGAACAAGATATTCTCAAATGGAATATTGATCTACTTTAAACGTCTTAATCATACTTTGGTTACAGTGAAAGAAAGAAACAAAAATGTACGTTTATTCTGTAGTTAGGGCATTTTTTCCATCCTCTAAAGATATCTGTGACCCAAACACACGAGAGAAATAGGCCATACAAATATTTCTACCGGCCCGGGAATCGAACCAGAGTTCTCTGCGTGGCAGTACAGCATAGTAACGGAGTTACTTTGCCCGTAACGCTTCAGAACCCCCATAACAACTCAAATATATATTTTTACGATACATCAAAAGAAAGTGATACGCGGTAATTTTATGATAATGGACAGTCCTACAGGCTCACGAATAATGAAGGCTTTTAAAAAGTCATAAAGCTGTGATGGGCTCCGCGTTTTATGATTTCAAACATTTAAAATGTGAAGGTGAGGTTAAGCTAGCTTGTTAATATTGATAGATGTGCTATCACACCCTTTGACTCGGAATGCGTATAGAGATTCTAAATAAAACTGGACCAATTGGAGGCAATAAAATAAAGTTATATAATAAAAAGAATATTATTTTATTTACTCTTTTTTACATTTACACTTTATACAAATAAAGAAAAACGTTTTCCACACGATGCATTGCGTCGGCGTTGCGTGTACCTACTCGTACATTATAACATCTACATGCCAAATGGTGTGTTGAAAAGGCGCAGGGCGAGGAGGAATGTTGCGGTGCGTAAGTAAGCGATACCGCATTCCTCGTGTAAAGGTTATTCGGTGTGTTGATGTCGTAGCGTTGCGACGACGCAATGCACCGCAGCGCCCGTGTGGCATCGCCCTAACACGATACTACTTTTTTCAACAATAATATCTTGTCTCTATAGCCTATACAACACGGAGAGTAATATATCATCAAGACCAGGTTATAGTTGGTCATCTACAGACCGTTTGGTCGTCATCGCAGGTGACCACCCAGTGAGATTCATTCCTGGATGCTTTTTGCGAAAATTATCATCAATCCATTTATACGTCGTACTACTGAGCAAGGGTCTCCTCGCAGGCGAGGATTTTAGGCTGTAGCCCGCCACGCTGGCCCAATTCAGGTTGAGGGACTTCGCACGATTTCCGAGGGTTGTGACCTTCGACGTATAGGTTTCATCACGACGTTTTTCTTCCTCGAAAAATTCATGGTTAAATTTTGGACATAAATTCAGAAAAACTCACAAGGTGGCCATGGCCTCTGCTTGAAAGGCATTAAGCTGCCACGGTTTCTTTTTCGGCGAAAAATCAAACGTAAACTAGCTGATCGTCAAACGAATCTATTATTCCGACTAGTTCTGTTGGGACTAAGTGGTATTTTTTCCCATTTGTTAATAAATAGACAAGTTTTCTTCACAGAGTACGACGAAGTATAACCATAAAAAAAAAAGTTTTGTAACCGTGAACTACCAAAATAGGAGTAATCATTAATTCAACAAGCCCCTTTATGAGCGATAACTGTAAAATTTTTTGAGATTACTGGAACCAACAGTCCGAAGGGAAGTCAAAATCATGAATTTATTTAATAAATGCATTGACTTACAAATAAATGGACGACGGGTCTAATACAAAAACCACGAAAAAAATATCCCAAGTCACCTATTTAAACGTAGTGACATGTAAAGGAATATGAAAAAGCTAAAACGTTGAATTTAAATTGTAATGTCATCGCAGTACTGTCTAATTTTGCTTGCTTCGCTGTCAGTCGAACAAACGAAGACTAAAGCGTGAATGACGCTCTGTATACGATTTTAACGCCCTATAAGTTCGGACACTTTTTAGCGCGGACCCGACGTCCATATAATTGTAAGTCAATGAATAAATGGATACAATTTGGTTTTTAATTTTTTTTAATAATATAAAAGTGCACTTCACAAAGTACAAATTGACATGTTTGTTGTATTTGAATTTCCAAATTGTGGTGGTCTATTTTAAAGACAATAAAAGTGATTCATGAAATCGAAGAAAGTCGTGGATGACTTTATGAAGTTCATCGACGTTCAATCTTTGTTTAATTCAGAAGAAAGAAATCACACAAGAAAGAGACCACTGCGATGTGGAAAGTCAGATAACATACCTTTAAAGAAACTTTACTTCGAGATAGCCACTCTAATCAAATCCCTTCCATTGAAGTATGCACTGAGGAACATAATAAATAGTCCAAAAAGAGATATGGCAGCAAATTTCCAAAGTCTCCACTTTAAATATCCTAGTCCAGGTGTCTCCCAGTCTAACATTAATTCGATGAAGGCCGGATATATAAAGCCCATGTTCGATAGGCAGACGGCACCGATCTTAAATAATTGAAATAAGCAATATAATTGGAAAACAGTGTACTAGGTACTATGTCAGTGGTTAGTGTGGATAAAACAATACTCCCGCGTCCGCACCCGTATCGAGTGACCGGACATTCAGAACTTTGTCGCAGTTTCCGTCGAGCCTCTGTCGCGGAAGCTCACGATTAAAGACCACAGACTGGGTCGAAACATGTCGAGCAAAAAATGGAAACATGACTTTAGCTATTATGTGTGAGTCTCGAGATGGATTACCACCGGCGAGACGAGATGAGACCTATTTCCATCAAAAATTACCACTAACAGCTCACGCTGTGGTTATGGATAGTGAAGATTCAGTGATGTTCGGTTTATGTAGCGATCACATATAACCTACAATCTCGCGATTGATATTTATAGCTATTACGAGCTCGCGCCAGTTCGCGCGAAATCATATTTCCTGATGAGTTAATAAATACCCTATGTAGGTAGCAATACGGTTCAATGTCACATCAACAAATAATACAATTCCTGTCTCGCGAATCCTTGTCAATCTAGGCCATTTCCAACGACGATGCCCTAGGAGAGAGCTGAAATTTTGCCATACAAATTTCAATCCACATTCGCCTCCCCGGTGGAATAGCACCTTCACGGTAGTTTTCTATTATAACCATTGACCTACCAACAAAATTACAACTCGGGTCATTCTCGGACTAGTGTTCACTACCTAATTTCCGTGACAATATTATCGTGTAATTATTAAATAATATTTCACGATACAATACCCAATATTAAATAATATTCCACGATAAAAAATCGATTATTTAATAAATAAAAACTGCCACGGAAATTAGATAGTGATCACTAGTCCAATAATGACCGTATAGTTCTATTCATCATGTTAAAAATATAGTACAGGCTCAAGAGCACGTCAAACCTGACACTTAAGGTTTAAATCCAACTTTATGCCGCTTACGATAAGAACGGTCCAAATTACGAAGTGTCAAGCTTGACGTGCTCTTGACTGTACTACGCGACACCGCGTGGTCGTGTTACGATGTTATATTGCACAGCAAAATAGTAGCAGTTTTTCTTAATACCTATATGAAAGGTAAAGCGCTATATAATAAAGTAAATAATGCACAACACAACACAGCATCGCATCACGATTACGTCGTACAGCATAGACGTGTGTCGATCGTAATGGATCGAATCAAAATGATTCGTACAGCACCTGTGACCGGATAACCCGGGTTACTTGCTTCTAAATAACCCGATCATTTTAGAGTTTCAAGGGTCATGCGCGCAATATTAACTTTATCGCTAAAGATTATTCAACAATTCACAATAATATTATAGTTGTCTTGTTCACCCTCACATGAAGTCCCCACTCACGACACGGTTCGCCTTCTCACTTTTCGTCTGGATCGAACATTTGTTCGATAAAGCATTCGTTCGATAGAACCTTTGTTCGATCGAACCAAAAAGTCAAGCAATCGAACAACGAGTCAACGGGTTTACCGATCAACGGTTCAATGAGTCTATCATCCTAATTGCTCCGTGGCGTAGTGTCCTTTACATCGTAATTTTGTAAGTTTAATCTGTTTTTCGGTATGTTGTGTTTCTTTATGATTACACTAGCTAATATTAAAATATTAATGAATAATAAATGAGTAATTTCGAATACTCATAACTTTTTTGTCATGTATTTTTGTTTCGTAGGTGTTACTTTTCCAAGAAAAGACATTTTGTATCCTAAGTGGGGTTTATCAATGATGCATTTTACTTTATACATTATCCATCAGCAGAAAAGAATAAAAGCCAATTGTATAATATGACACTTTTAAACGCATTATGGAACGAGTGACCCGCTAAAAGAACGAATCATTTTACCCGATCACATTACGTAAGAGTCATGATCGATCCGGGTTATCAAAAATGATCGACCGACACAGGTCTAAGTACGACACCCTAAACATGGATACACGAGCGGTCTAACCACGTTAGGTAAGAGACAGACATTGTCATTGCCTGTCTTGCCGAGAGTTATCTTTTAAACCATTGTTTTAATAGTTACATATCCAAGAGCTGTCAAATGTTTTTACCACTGTAGACGTTATGCAGCTATTTCAAGGGCCTAATTATGTCATACTCGTAAGTTACTAGATACAAAACATTAACAGCCAACTAGAGACACGGTATATCTATGCCGCGATCGTTATCTGTCTTTCACACCATGTAGTTATTCTTTATGCCACTAAAACAGATGCACCAATCTAGCTATGATAAAAGCGCATAATTTAAGGGTGGACCGCAGAAGTAAGTCCTCGCCCGAGACGCTCAGGGGTGCGGGAGCGGGTTTATGTTGCAATGCGATGCGCACAAGATGAAAATATTTGCGGACAGTTCTAACAATAGGTTACATTATAATGTGTGTCATGGTATAGTAAAACGTCAATGGCATAAGTAACGTACATCATGATGTGAATTAAAATACTTTTATAATATGTAGCAAAAAAGAGGTACAAAGAATTGTAATTATGATGACATTAGACACAAAATTTTTTAAAAGAGATATTTTCAAAAATAAATTCAAATACTAACGTCCATATCAACATAAATAGCGGATTTTTATCCAAATTATCTCGGAAAAATTATCTCATGTAGACTGTAATGATGATAAATATGTTATTTTTATCTAATCAAGATGATGATGGTTCGAATATCAATGACGTCGTGTAATAACATTGATTTTATATAAGTTAAGTACATTATATTTATACTCCAGCCAAATTCGATGCAGATTGCAGAACGTTTAATGACAAAACGTTGCTTACCAATGATGGCATAGGAAAAGAATATTTTTTTCATGCTCATTGTTAAGGCTTGCTTTGCCCACAGCCTGGGGGCCTACCACAACTTCTAAAAACAATATTACTTTAACCTTACATTGACTTTTCGTACCATAACGCGCTTAAAATAAGCTTATTGTAATGTTAAAACTATGATGTTTTATTGGCTTTGTGACTGTTCATTCGTACTATGACGCGACTTTAACATTAAAGTAATATTGCTCTTATGTCAAATTTAGCAATTTTAACATAGTTACACGGATGCAATGGAAACAATATTATTTTCAGTTTTATTGTCCTAATATTGATTCGTAATGGTTAAAACTTGAACTTATTTACATATATCTCTTCAATATTTTTTATTTGTTATTCATTAGCTTAGAGGAAATAATTTCTCATTAAATAAAAATACGCGATGTTTATTTCGTAAAATTATAACAGCGCCATCTACATGCTCCTTGGCGAAACTAACAGTTGACACTAGACTATGGTTCCGAACTCATAACGTGAATATCAAGACTCAGCTTGTTTTATTTTTGTTCATGAAAATGGGGAATAATTATTGAAAACAACATAATTTTAATAGATTTTATTATTGCGTACTTTTCTTTTTTTAACAGTCGAAATTCTCTGAATGTAAATAACATTAAGTACTTAAACATTATACTACGATAAGACGATTCGGAACATCAAAAAAGAAAGAGATGGCATTATATAGGTCACATAGCGTTATCTCTTTCCTTTTTTAGTAAGGAATAGGCAATATTGGGAAATCATTCGTTCTTTCAATCACTTTTGCAATAATACATTACTTGGTTGACAGGTTTATCATGGTACGAATATGAGTAAAATTATATTAAGCTTACTTTAAGCTTACACTGAAATAAGATTGTTTTTGGAAAGGTTATGTTAGGCTCCCTGCTCCGTTAATTCTAATTTAAATAGGTAAGTAGGTAATTGGGTTATACAGGTAACTTACCTCACCACTTATTATAAAGTTTACAAAATACCTATTGAAACGTATGATTTAGAAATAAAAATAAGTTTTTGCATTCTATTAACTTTTACTGCTAGATGGTAGGTAATAATAAAATTGTAAGATTTTATTTGATATATCAATTTACCACATATTAAATCATCCAGTATCGATATTCGATTCTGAACTTGAATTACCACCAGAACTCGAATGTTTGCAATCTCTCCCTTCAAATCAAAAAGCCACTAGGGATGACACAGTTTTACAAATAATTAATTACTGGTCATTTGAATTTCAAGATTAGTATCAGCCCTAACTTAGTTGAATTTCGTAGGTAAATATTGAAATTGTGGTAACCGTGAAAGAGACTGAGATGAAAACCCTAAGGCTCAACTCACACTGGCGCAGAGACGAAGCGTCGCGTCGCGTCGCGTCCTGCTTTTCAACTATAACACCTGGTGACGCGCGACGACGCTCGCATTAGTGCGCCCGGATCACAGTGTGGTCGGCATCTGACGCCTCCCTGCGCTCGACTGCAACCAAGCTTGACTCCATATTTGCATAACACAAATTTGTAGCTTAATATTGGGAAAATAGAGATGAATATGCTATAGGTTAAAAACATGACGCATCGCGACGCTTCGATTCTGTGCTAGTGTGAGTTGAGCCTAAAAATCATTTGTTTGTGTTTGTTGACATTTATTCTACATCGAATCTGGCTAAAGTATAGTTGAAAATACATGTCGTTAATGACAAACAACGAGACAAGGGAACTCTTGGAAAACGTGTCGTAGTGCTAATTATAATGTGGTGGATTAATGATTACGATGATGACAACCACCAAACGTGATATTACAATAGTAATTGTATAGTAATACAACATGTCTAGAATTATTAACAGGATTAAACTAACCACACCCATAAGAGCCGTGACACTGGGAAATGCAATAGCAATAGAAGTAATTACAATGATGAATATAGCTCTATAAATCCGTTCCCACAATGCTAATCTTTTTGTATGTCTCTTTTTTAAATAAACCCAAACAAGGTTGAATGGTACCCAGAAGTTAAGGGCAAAAGTAATCCATATCATTAATATCATTGCAATCTTCAGTGCAATTGTGTACCTTGAATTGAAGTATTTCGGAAATTACAAAAAAAGTAAAAAAAGGGACTATGTATTTTTTGTAACATCAAGTCTTTACTTGATCTTATAAAAAATACCTAGTTGTTTTTGGTGTTAACGTGGAGGAACAAAGCATGGGCTTGGTGGGAACTGACACGCCTATCACAGTTACAGTGCCACTTAAAGTTTTAAATCAAAAATATCTGAAAAGCACAGCCACTGCGGTCGTCACCTGAGAGATAGAGTTGACAAGTCTCATGTATCTGTAATTTCACCAGCAGCCTCACCCTTTGCAAATCAGGACCGCGTTAATATTTACATTACTGCTTTCCGGAAGAAATAGATGTGGGGCAGTACTTACATAGACGAACTCTTTCACAAAAAGCTTTACAACTACTAAAATATATTTTCGATAAAGTAGGGTTTATTGTGAACAAACCCCTAATTTCAGAAAAAAATATTTTTCTATGATATCACAACTATAAACTAGTTAAGTTTCATTGAGACCGATCTAGTAAATTTAGTAATACGCGTAAAAAAACCAACAGACAGAATATAATAATTAAAAATATTCTCAATGCAGGGAATTGATCCCATGCTGCTTAAATACTGTTGATGATTGCAGAAATTTTGGGTTAGTACCGATAAATTCTAAATTTATAATCTAAATAAATATTGCTTAATTTGTATTATTTTTATAAATGCTTGATGATTACTTACCAATTTTTCGGAAAAGCATTTGTGATTGGTTCAGCTGGATTCTCTCCAAAGCCCCAGTACCCAAAAAAGCCGGATAATATAACTAATGAACAGACAATTGTCATACCTGTAAGAAATATAATTCAGATGATCTTTCCTCGGGAATCCGGTATTTCCAGCACAAATGAGATCATAGACATTAAGAAATTGTTAAAATTCCCAAACTTTTCATCAACCTTACCAATTATAATTACGCGCGGCATCAAGGTCGGTCGTGCCATAGAATTCTCAATCGGTAGTGTGACCCCGACTCCTTCCATACTAAATATGCAAACCCCAATAAACTTCATTACACCTCCAAAACTTTTTATTGGTTTTGTTTCAGTATCTGGATACTCAATCCTATTTTTGATCCCAAAAGAAACACACGAGAGGACGACAACCACTGTAAACAAACATTTTTCGTAACTCGTGAAGGCTATTAAATAAATATAGAAAACTTGATGACTGCCAGGTTAGGTTTCTACAACTTCAATGGCTCAACGGTAAGCATTTCGGACTTGATTTTGGTCTGGATACTCTGGGTAGTGTTCCAATGTGAATTCCGTTGCTCTGGTATTCATTATACAGATATTTCCTTAATTTGAGACCAGATGATTAGCTTGCTGTTTACAACAAACAAGAAAATTAACTGCAATTTCGAGTTCTCTTACAACATGTTCATTTGCAACTGAGTAGTATGGTTTTATTATGACCGATTTCTCAATATTAAATTAATTGGTAAACTAAGTATCAAAACTAAAAAGAAAAGCGGTAACAAGTTACGATCACTCTTAAGCTCGTGCGACCAATTGAATGAGCCTTTACATGATAGTTTTACAGATGAGATATTCCAACAATTGTTTATTCTGCAGATCGTTCTGGTCTGGACACAAGATCAAAGTTACTATATCATTAAAATGTCATCGGATTTCCACAGTATACCAAATTTCAAGTCGACCGCACTTGTGGTAAACATCATCTTCTGAAATCCCTACACCAATTGGAAAAAGAGCTGATGATCTTTAAATAGCTTCATCGATGTTCAACAAACATAGCACTATCCTGATTTACTAGCCTCAAAAAGCTAGCTAGCGTAGCTTTAAAAATAACCTCATTTCAAGGCTATTGTAGTTCAGTGTGAAAATGCACCTTATAAAAGAGTAAAACAGACATTAACCTACCAACAAATGAACGTCGGTTCTAATATAAAAACCACCGAAAAAAATGTCCGAAATTAACCGATACAAACGTAGTGACATGTAACGAAAACTAAAACATTTAGTTTCAATTGTAACGTCATTGCAGTACTCCCTAATTTTGCTTGCAACAATTTAAGGGCCCAAAAACACCATATTCAGCTTCTACTTACTGGAAACTTAACAAAATGCACCATATTTAGCTTCGACTGAAAATTACTAGAATACAAGAATAATGGAGCAGCCTTTATTGTAAATTATTAATACAAGATACTTACAGATAAATACATTGGCAAGTATAGAGAGTGGTGCCAAGTACTTGAGACTCAGTATCATACAAATAAGAACACACGGTATTAGTACTACTAACAGCACTATTCGTAAATTAATATCATGGTGATCGAAGTCTCTCATTATAGATATGAAAGATTTAGCAATGACTATCTGTGAAAAATAAATTCCAATTATAGTAGTCACAAAATAAATGGCACCTTTTGACACTTACTGCCATCGCAGCGTAAACAGGGCTCTGTAAACTAAACATATCGGCAACAATTTGAAAGATTCTCACGAGAAATCGATTACCTACTTTATGAGTCTGTAATCGCTTAGATTATTTTTCAGGTCAGCGGTTTTCAGTTCTAAGGCGTGGTTCATTTGGAGGCACTATAAAAAAATGTAACAAAAACGAATTTATCGGATTATCTTTATTATCATACAAAAAACCATTCTTTACATTTATTTTTTAAAGATTATTTTCTTTCAAATATTTTCCGTAACTGCCCAAGGACACCCATATCTAAATATATACTATAAGATATCTAATAGAATTTAATTCAATTGAATATTTTAAGAGCTCAAATTCCCTCAAGATATCTCGAAGAAGGTTTCTAGATTAATTTAAAGTAAAAGTGGGCGCAACTTTATTAGTAGATCACAAGAGTGCTTTGAGAAACTATCTGTAGGTAGTCTTAAGAGTGTGACTTATCTTTTTTCTCAAGTAACCCTTCTAGAATGCTACAAGACCATTTGTAGAATGCAGACAGTTATTAGATAATTTATAGTCTATGATAGTTTTCTTAGTAATACTATTTTAAAACCAAAATACTAAAGCGTTACAAACATAAGACGCAATTCTCTTAATACTAATAGATATCAAGTTTAATGGCTTACAAAATATAAACTATCAAAATTGCAACATGGCGAAATTAGATATAATATTTCTGACTTTTTCGCGCAATGTTTAATCGGTTAGAAAGCGCGAATTGATGTGCGACTTTAAATACATTGTGAAAAGTGATGTAAAAAGTAATGCGCTCGCTAAATTTTAATTACGTATATATAAAATATAAACTTAATAAAAATACAGTTATCGATTTTCGGTTTTAAATATTTATAGAAAGCTTAAATATACAAAATAACTCACAAAACAAACCATTTCCAAGAATTTCTAGCCTTCAAGCTTTCAACATAGATTTTCTTTTTAAAAAGAAAAGAAATTTTTCTCAGCTGCTTCATAGTCATTCTTTAAAAATAAAAATGGCGATAACAATTTAAGGCTTTTTTCAAAACACTGCCTGTTGGGAGCATTTTGTCTATAGCTTTATCTATAGAAAAACTTTAGAATACAAAAATATTATTTTTACTTGCTTTGTGTAGTTGATCTTGTAGAAGAATGTTCACTCCTATGAATCTTATGATTGTCTATAAAACACGATGTTTCTAAGTGATTTTTCCGACAGTATTACAAAACCATTATAAAAGTTATTTTATGCAATAAAAAAATTTTTAAAACACTAGGTCAAAAAAACAATTTAAAAAATCCAATTTGTCGCAAAAAAAAAAACGTTCTTCTGTATAATTAGAAAAGTAGATAAATTCCCTATCATATAAATATAAGGAATATTTTAATGACACACCCAACTTATATTGGAAGAAATAAAATTTTCATTACAACATTGAGGTTATTTCTTCACGCTAACCACATTTCACTCAATGATTTCACTGTATTCTATTGATAGAAGGCACAATACACATACACAACATTGAAGTGCAGTAGTTTACGCGCTCATTTCAATTGTTTTTTATCATTTCGGAACACGAAATTACTTCACAATGTTTATTTATTTGTCAACAAACAAAAACCGGCTCGTGCGCGAATTACGACTATTATATCCAGCGTTGCCAATTTGTGGAGAATTCCCCAAATTGTGGGAAATTTCAACTAGATTAGGAATTTTGTGGGGATTGGCGGTATGTGAGGAAAATGTGGGGATTCTAACATTTTATCATTTTGTGTAATCTATCAATTGCTGATGCATCGCTAGTTTGATCGTTACTGTTAGAAACACTGTGACGGACTATATCGACGTGTTTTTCAAAATCGCACATCTCTCGTAGCAGTTGGTACTTCCACACCACAACTTACCCCTCGTCAACTTGAAATATTAAATATAGGTCGAAACTCATTGATTATTTCTAACATAAACATAGTGTCACCAAATGCACAACAAATAGTCAATTTACTTAATTTTGTAGGCAAAGAAAAATGATTTTTTTTCAAATACTGATCCCAGATTAATGTTGAATCGAATTAAAATAAACGATTTAAGGTCATCTAATTTTATAATTAGTTTTACTTTTTACATTCTGTTTACATTCACAGCAAACGTAATAGATTATTACATTTTGAGTTTCTTAATTCTTTATTATATTTTTAAGCGATGTATTTCTAATAAATAATGAAATCTCGAGATGTGGGGAATTTCTGTGTAATATGAACTTTGCTTTCCCCAAATTTGGGGATTTTAACCGTGATTTTTGGGGAAAAAAAACCATTTATAGAGAATTATTATCTAAATCTATACCATATTAAGACTGTTTATAGATATAACAGTTTTAAGGCGCATAGGTACAGAGGTCAGAAACTCACCGGTCAGTTGGCCGTCTAGATCTTGTGACATCATACCTCTAGATTTTTTCCTTTGGGGCTATCTATACGGATAAGCTGAGTACGATTGATCAACTGAAAGCCAACATTACTCGCGTTATTCGCCAAATACCAAACGAAATGCTCGGACGCGTCATCGAAAACTGGAACTGCAGAATGGACCTCGTTAACCGCAGTTACGGTCAATATTTGAAAGAAATAATCTTTAAAAAATAAATGTTAAGAATAGTTTTTCTGTATGATGATAAAGATAACCCGATAAATTTGTTTTTATTACATTTTTGTTAGTTTTGAAAAAGTAACCTCCAAATGATTCACCATTTAGATAGAACAATTAATATTTATTTAAGCAATGGGGAGTTTAATATAAATAATGTATTTTAAATGATCACAATGACAACTTTTTGTTGTTTTCGTAGTATAGTTACGTAATAAACAGAGTTCACAACGACAACCTGTAGTCACACAGCAAAATTTTGGAGCAAAGGAAAAATAGACAATACAATACAATACAAAAATTCTTTATTGTACACCAAAAAAGGAAACAAATACAATACAATTAAATTAAAAATAAGCGGTGGTACAATGGGCAGTCTTATCGCTTTAAGCGATTTCTGCCAGACAACCTTTGGATGGAAGTAATTATACAATTCACAGGGAAAAGATGGCGTTGTATGAAGAATTACTAATCAATAGATAAAAATTGATAAATAAATGCAAATAAACATATATTTATAAATAAGTAATAAAACCAATACATATATATGAATATCGTAAACTACTATATATTCTTATACCTATAAATATAAAATTTCTAAAACGTAATTTCAAAACATAAAAATACCTAAGCAGTCCAAGTCACACTAAATTAAGGTACCACCAAAACGTACCAAAGTACGTTTTTACCATATTTTTGAATATATTCCATGATTTCGCTTGTTGAATAAACAAAGGTAAAGCGTTCCACAAACGAATAGCCTGAACAGTAAAGGCCTTGTCGTAATACTGGGAGGTATGCAATGGCATCTTAAGTTGGAGAGTTGAAGAAGAGCGCAGAAGTCGGGGGTGGATAGATAGGCGAATTCAAATCGCTCCTTAAGATAAGGTGGTGTGTGAGGAATGAATAAGATGCCATAAAGAAGATTAAGAATATGAGCATTCCGGCGAAGTCTAATGGGTAACCACTTCAGCTCCTTGCGATAAATGGAAACATGATCGAATTTCCTCAGACCATAGATGAAACGGATGTACACGTAAATATATAGTTATAGAGAAGTAAAATAAAAATTAAATAATTTTTGTTTTTTTTAAGTGTAAAGGAAAAATGGTAACAATTTAACAATAAGTGAGGCCTCTTCTTGCCAAAATCACAGCTTGTATTCTTCTACGCATGCTTTCGAGGATATTGCTTATGACCTCTTGTCGAATATGTTCCCATTCTACGGCGATGAGATTTTTTAGCTCCCTGATGTTTTGTGGTGCTGTATGCGCTGACCTTACCCGTCGCTTCAGAACATCCCAGACATGCTCTATTGGATTGAGGTCGGGATTTCGAGCTGGCTAAGGCAAACGCCGGATTCCAACCTCATATACACTTCCACATCGCCAGAACGGTGAGCGCGAGGGTTGTCAACCATAAAAATGAAATCTTCTCCAAGAACAGTCAATGCGGGTTGTACGTGAGTAATTAGGATCTCCGTCATGTATTGGTGTGCAGTTAATGTGCCATTTTCGATGAAGACTAACTCCGTACGGTCCATCGAATTAAACGCTGTCGAAAACATAACGGAGCCTCCACCATAAGGGGTGACTTCTTCAAAAAACACGTCTGCAAAGCGTTCCCCTGGTCTTCGTAGCACTCGCCAACAGCGGTCTTCACCACACAGAGAAATTCTGGCTTCTTCAGAGAACAATATACTCTTCTCCAGTCCTCTTGAGTCCATGTAGCATGGTTAAGTCTAGCAACTTTATGCTTACGGAGTAATTTAGGGCCACGAGCTGGGCGATGACTGCGTATATTGGCAGTAAGAAGCCTCCTTCTGACGATCCATAGACTAATTTGTACTCCTCCCACTTCCTCAAGGTCATTTATGAGGTCCACGTATGAAGCTTTGCGATTTCTCGACGCCCGGCTTACCAGGAAGCGGTTATCCCGTGGTTCGGAGCATGATTTTCTTCCAGAACCTGTCGTTCTATTGACGGAACCGGTCTCTTGATATCGTTGCCAAGTCCTCTGAACAGTCGAACGACTCACATTCAGCTTCTGGGATACATAACATGGTGAACAATTTTCTTCAAGCAGCGCTATAATTTTGCTGGCTATTATTGTTTTGTCAACCATTTTAGAGACCACTTAGTAATGGTACAATAACTTAAAATGATGAATTCAACAAGATAAGCTATCAAAATTTATTTAAAAGATGATTAATTAGTTCATAATATGAACTTTCAACAATTCCCGTCGTTTTATGCAGTGAAGACATTGGACCTACCAACAAATGGACGTCGGGTCTAATACAAAAACTACGAAAAAAATGTCCGAAGTTAACCTATACAAACGTAGTGACATGTAACGAAATATAAAAAACTAAAACATTTAATTTAAATTGTAACGTCATTGCAGTACTGCCTAATTTGGCTTGTAACAATTTAAGGGCCCAAAAACACCATTATTCAGCTTTGACTGAAAATTATTTATCGTAAATTATTAATATTTATCGTAAATATTAATTAATTTTTACATATATTATTGTCGAATTTTGTGCAAATTCACTTACGCACACACACATTCAACATAGAAAGTAAAGTTAAAGAAATAATTAAGAGTTGGGCAGATACATACATACAAATATTACTACAAATGTGAAAATAAGCGTGTACTATAAGAAATGTACCGATATTTCAACTAAACGTAAACTCAAATATTCGTAATTTCGAAAACCGATTTATAATGAAACCGTTACGCTTTCGAGTAATTTTGATGCTTTTTACAAAAACAAAATTAGCTTTTGTTTTGTAATCTTCCCAAAAAAATACATTTGACATTATGAAAATTCGAGCTAACGTTATTTCGGGCAAATGTATTTTCTAACTTCTGATAGGTAATCCCAATATTTTGTTAGTTATTGCTAACGTTTATTAAAAAATAAGATTAAAATTAACACGACTCTATAGTTTCTTAGTTCCAAATATTTCAATCGCTCGTGGTTCAAACAATGAAGTTTACATAAACTTCTTGAAATTTACGTAATGGGTCTCTTTCCATCTTTTGCGCAAGCAGTGTGTAGAAAAAGGACAGGTAGCTATTTGATTATTTTGTGCGTTGGTAATTTATATTTACGATTTATTTATATATAAATTAAATACTATAAAACTGTACAAAATAACACTTTTAAAGGAGAACTATGATAACACAGTATGTTTGTTTTCTGATGATGATACAAAATCATGTTTTTACACTTTACTGCAGTAATTTTTACAAGTTATTATTATATGGTACTGCATGATTCACAACCGCGCTGTCAGTCGAACCAACGAATAGGTGCGGACACTTTTTAGCGCGAATCCGATGTCCATTTATTGGTAGGTCAATGAGTGTAGACTTTTTGAAGAATTTTCTTG